TGATCTGTTGTAATTCCCTCCCTTTGTTTTTTATGTACACGGTACAACTGTATGTGTTTATTAAATATAAGTTGTATTCTGATCTCTTCTCAAGACAAGTCGAAAACACACATTTGAAGGATGTGGTTGTGCATCTCTGATGTGGAAATCTAGTCGTGTGAATTATTTCAAGAAAAACTCAATGGTTTATGTCAAAGAAACGATTGACGGTGTGTGAGCCACTGGATGAAATTGGTGTTCAGGGAAAGATTTTTTATTATTTTTTTAACAAGTCCACAAAGAGCAAATTTAGGAAATTATGACAACATTTGAGCAATACCAGAGAGACAATTTGAAAACTGGTCCAAGAAATTTGTTAATGTAACTACATAAAATATTTCTTTTCAGCCAAATGCCAAAATCCATCAACAGCTGTGGACAAATGTGCAAAACAAACCAAATCACATGCAAACTACCTCTACACTGTTGAATAAGTTTAGATATAAAATAGGTGATTGGTGTTGGAGGCGAATCATGTGAACTAGAAGATCCAATGACAAACAGCAGGACCGTAAAAAGCCCAGAGAGAGCATTGAGGTCAGGGAGAGGGTTGTGAACGGAGAATAAAGTTAAAACCGTTTCAAGTTCGGAGTGGAAAGTATTGTTCGTTTTATTTGAGAGGTGTCACACAACACACACTGTGACCTTCCTCTGCTCTCCTCCTCCCCCTGCACTGCCAAATCGGTTGAGTTTAGATCCCCAGACATCAGACTCTGGTTGTCCAGTGCTTTGGTTAAGCCAGACCTAGAGTACTGTTTACACTTTTGGTCACCGCAATATAAGGGGGGCTGCCCCCTAGAGACAATCCAGAGGAGAGCAGTGAGGATGATCCCCATTGTTAGACAAGCTTGTGCTCTTCAGTCTTAACAGAAGATAATGATAATAACAATAATAATAACCCTTGCATTTGATATAGTGCCTTAGCACGTCTTTGAGACGTTTCAAAGAGCTTCACAGAATATACTATAAATTGAAATGACTGTACATTTTGTGGGAGAAACGCGGCAGCCAATTGGACGCAGTGTCCCACAAACAGTCGTGAATTGAGTAACCAAATTATTATTATTTATTTTTGGAGGGATTATTAACCCTAGGAAAAGCGATCCGCCAGCCGGCTCCCTACTTACTGCTCGGTAAACAGAGTCATGTGGAGTAAGGAAACTTGCCCAATGTTTCGCCCTGCCGGGAATCGAACCCAGGACAGGACAGGACATCCACGATGACATAGATGTGTATAAAATTTTAAATGGGATTGAAAAAGTAAACCCGGAACAATACTTTAGGATGCACCAAGACAGTAGAACAAGAGTACATGGTTTATATTTACAAAGGGTAATTTCAGAACAGAGACAGATACCAGAAAGCTTTTCTTTACAAAGAAGGTAATTAAAAGACTGGAACAGGCTTTCAGGAAGAGTGTTTGAGGTCAGAACACTGGACTGGTTTAAAAACCAGCTTGATACAGTGATGGGGGATGGTAGGGCGGGTGTTCTGGAGGGATGTGATCAGATGGGCCAAAGGGCCTTCTTCATCCAAACTAATTTTGTGAGAGTCATTTTCCCTCTTCATTCCTACTGCCTTTATCTTGGATCAAGGTCCAGGTCACAATTTTAGCTCAATCTTGAGCTCTGACTTGCTTGATGATTGACAACAGCAACAAAATTCAATTTATAGAGCGCCTTTCACATCGGGAGGACGCTGAACAGTCAGGTGTCGGGGCCCGAGCATGGGGGCTGGGGCATGGTGTAGGGGTGAGGGAAGGCAGAGAGGTGGGAGGGAGACCAAAGGCACGGTCAAAGAGAAGGATCTTGAGACCAGTCTTGAAAGAGGCAACGGAGGAAGCGAGGTGAAGGGATCGTGGGATGGAGTTCCAGGGTGTGGGGTGGAGAGGCTAAAAGCCCGGCCACCGATGGTAGGGCAGGTCTGGCAGGCGACATGGAGCAGGCAGGAGCCCGATGAGCGGAGGGAGTGGGCAGGTTGGTAGGGAGTGATTGAAGTGCACTAGTCATGTGAATATGTCAGTAGGATTTCTGCAGAAGCTTTGTGTAGCTGTTAGACTTCCATGGCTAAGTATAATGGTTACGCATATATGTTTGTCAGGACTTGGAGGGGAGATTAGTCACTGAGAGCAGGGATTTTTCCCACTCAGATCCTGTTAACTACGCAACCCAAGGCCTTGATGGGAGAGGTGGTCCGAGCTAGACAAGCAACCGGAAGCTTACCAGACAATGCTCAAAGTCAAGCAGTGCAACAATTCAACGCTCCCCAGCACTGTCTTGACATGTCAGCCCAGACAGACAATGAGCTTAAAGTCCTGATGCAGGGCTTGAACCCACAACCTTCTGACTTGGGAGGCAAGAGTGCTTCCACTGGGCCAGGCTAACAGTATAAACAATCCAGCCTTTGGAAGCCAGTTTGTGAAGCTCTGTGAACGCACAAAAGATGCTGGCAAAAGTGTAGAATAGAACTTCTGTTTCCCCACTCCTCGCTGTGATACCACCGCAAGCAATTTCCATTTGCTGCCGGCACTACAAATGGGCATGAGTTCCGAGCTGGGCTAACCAGCAGGGTGAATAGACTTTAGTTGAAAACATGTTGACTCAGCTGTTACTGCTATTTTATTGGACCTGAATTATTCTTGTGTAAAACAGAGCACATACTGTATTTGATTTTAATTCAGCCCCATTTTGTAACAAATGGAAACTTGAAAAAGTTGGCGGGAGTTTACAAATTAAATGTGCTTTTCAACTCAGAATATTTGAAATGCAATTGAATATCTGCCAAGTGCGAGATTCGGTTGCCAAATATTTTATCCAGTATTCCCAGAGGAATCCTATCTCTGAGCACAAAATGTATTGTTACAATCAACTTTTTTATCACACAGAGCGACTTGTGTAACAAATCCACCAGTTGTGCCAACAACCAGCTCGATGAGGCACAGTGAGGGAATGCAGTGAGCTGCTATATGGCTTTTTCATATATCCATAGTTGGTAATGTCTCCTCAGAAATCTTATCGGAGATATGTAATTGGTGCCCTGAGCCGAAGCGATTTCTTTTCCAGACTTTGCAATCACGTTGTTTCTTGTTTTATGAATGCAAATACAGTAGTTGGATTTCAGTTTGTTTTGTGCTCCCCCGAAAACTGCTATCCATCCAAGCATACTATAACCACTGTGGTATATTACAAGAGAACCAAGTATATTTTATTCCGACAATTAATTCTTTATTAATTTGTCACCATTCGAATGCAGTGGTCAAAGTTAAAAGGTGTGTCTGGTCTTTCAAAAGATTGAATGCACTGAGCAGTTTCAAAACTGTTGTTTGACTTAGTGTGACAGCATCATTCGTTCATTACTCATGTAGCTATACCATACAATTGACATTTGTATAGTGCCTTTCAGGTCAGGAGGACATCTCAAAGCACTTGGGAAGTTTCTCACTTTGCGAGGCCTGTTGTTTCAGGCATAGGACCCTCAACACCAGGACAACAATACCCCAGATAAAAATTGTTCATTTGCTTCATGGCTATTTGTGGGACATTTGCTGCAGCATTCACCAACAAGTACGCAGTCGGGTCACTATACTTCACAATAAATCTTTGTGAAGTGCTTTGAGATATCAGTGACTGAAATTACCAAGGAGATTGTCACGTTAGGTACGGGTGGTTTCAGACCCTCGGCTGCTGACTATCTAGATATTTGCTGATGGATGTTGGTGATCCCCAGGGATGATCCAATCTCCGAGCATTCCAAAGCTGAGGGCAAGATGGTTTCAATTCTTTGAGGAGATATAAGAGAAAGTATCAAACACTATTAATTTGTTTGATCTGGGACACTTTTAATCTCAAACTGTGTGTTCTAGTACATGTACCTCAGGGGACAGATATTATTTTGCCGGGAGACATTATTTGATATCACTTTTCTATGTAGACGAAAGAATTTGCATTGTTATCGTTATTGTTATTGTTAGTGTTATCGTGTTCAAACGTCCCAGAGCACTTTTTGACAATTACTGTTAAGTATTATGTCTGTTTTTGTAGGCAAACATGGCAGCCATGTTGTGCACAGCAAAGTCCCAGAAGAGCCATGAGAAGACATGAAGTGTCATTATTTACAAGTATTCCTTGTACAAACTGCCTCTGCAGCATGAACCTTAACTGCGCTGCTCCCTTCCCACCCCCTACTCCCATCTTATATGCTATATTTATAAACCTGTGTACAATGTTATGATGGGAGTCTTAGAAGTATTGGCCTGCTGTCAATGAGCAGGAATAAGCATGTGATACAGCTGTTAATCACATAGTCAATACCACTTCTGGAGAACAGACTATAATAATAATTATTGCATTTGTTATAGCACCGTATCATGTCGTTGAGATGTTCGAATGCTTCACAGAATATATTGTGAAATGGAATGACTGTGTATTTTGTGGGTAAAATGTGGCAGTCAATTGTGCACAGCAGTGTCTGACAGTCATGGATTGAGTAACCAATTTTTAATTTTTTTTGAGAGAGATCGTCAAGCGATCCACCAATCAACTAACAACCCGGCTCTTACTTACTGCTAGGTAAATGGAGGTGTGTGGAGTAAAGAAACATTCCTGAGGTTTTGTCCTGCCCGGGAATCAAACCCAGCTCTCTTGCTTGCCAGCCAAGTGCTCTAACCACTAAGTTACAGGACATCTAAGATGACTTCAATCATAGCTGGGTCCTTTCATTAGCGAGGCGAGTGCTCTAAAAACTACACTACAGGACTAGCTTTTCTGATTGTGCAAATATTCACTGGAGAGAAGCAAAATGATGAGAGGTTATCACTGGAGATAGCTGTGCCCATTCCTTCTCCCAAGGCTCCCTGAGAGACCATAAAAAAAATTTAATAAATGGCTTTCAGGATTCCAATAAAATGTTGATTGTCTAACTTGAGTTTTTTTTAAAAAAATGTTTCTCTTTCCAATAAACAGATCTGCAGATTGGAAAAACAGTTATCAGGAGGACAATATCAACACAATTTGTTCGTAAATCAGCCTCTGATCTTCATTTCACCCAGAAGTGATCCCCCTGCCTCCAAGCTTAAGGAGTTGGTGCTGTTGTGCGGGGGAAAGGTGTGCAAGGCATTACGCCAAGCTGGGATGTGCATTGGAGAATATAGGGGAAGGAGGTACCCAGGAAGTCCTTACTTATCGGAAAAGTGGATTCTAGGTATGTATGTCGCTTCGTGTAAATACTAAGTTCAAAGATGAGCATCATTGTGTTTTGCTTCCAAAGAATGTTTTCCAAACACACCTTCAAACAGAATATTAAAAATAATTATTATATAATAATAATAATAATAATCCTTGCATTTGATATAGCGCTTTTCACGTCGGGAGGACGTCCCAAAGCGCTTCACAGAACACACTGTAAAGTGAATTGACTGTATATTTGTGGGCGAACGCGGCAGCCAATTGCGCACAGCAATGTCCCACAAACAGTCGTTGATTGAAAATAACCAATTTATTATTGTTTTTGGTTTTGGAGGGATTATTATTAGGCGTGTGGATTAAGGAAACTTACCCAAGGTTTCGCCCTGCCTGGAATTGAACTCGGGTCTCTCGCTTGCAAAGCGAGTGCTCTAACCACTGAGCTACAGGAATATAATAATATTCCTAGCATTTGACATAGCGCCTTATCATGTCGTTGAGACGTCTCAAAGCTCGTCACAGAATATACTGTAATGGATTGACTGTATATTTTCTTTAGTTCTAGGTTCTTTTTCTAAACAAAGAAAAATTTCATCAGATCTTCATTTGTGAAAGCTGCCGCTTCAATGAATAATCTGAGAGAAGCAAATGCCAGCCAGGGTGATTCCCATATCCCTCAGAAAAAAATAGCTCAAATGGCTGTCAGCACCTGAGGGAATAGAAAACATAATATTCACGTCTTCTAGACGTCTCAAAGCGCTTCAAAGAATATACTGTAAACTGAATTGACTGTATATTTGTGGGCGAAGCGCGGCAGCCAGTTGCGCACAGCAGTGTCCCACAAACAGTTGTGGATTGAAGTGACCAATTTATTATTGGGTTTTTTTCTTGAGGGATTGTTATCAGGTGTGTGGAAAAAGGAAACTTGCCCAACATTTCGCTCTGCCGGGAATCTAACTCAGGTCCCTCGCTTGTGAGGCGAGTGCTCTAACCACTGAGCTACAGGCTGATGTAGCTCCTACTACTATTATTATATATAAATTCAGCTCAGGCTATGAACAACAGAGCCGTGGTGCTATTTTGTGATTATAAACTCTGCAGCACTACAACAATTTGCGTCTGTTAGTTATGTTTCAATCTATTGGATTTCGCAATCGCGTTACACTCCTGCCAAGGTCAAATCATTGCCAATTCTGAGATTTTAGGAAATATAAAAATAGTGAGACTCATGAACTACTTTTTTNAACGTGAGAAAATGTGAGCCAGCAGGTCCGAGAGAGTCTTTGGAGCAATCCCACCACTTGTTTGTGCCACTTATCCTCCTTACTCATAATTAGTTGAGAACCACATGCTTTACACAGAACATAACAATAGTAGGAAAGCGTATGGCACCAGGCTGGCTTTTTACAGTGTCTGCACCCAAATACACTCTGGGGAAACTAATGGAAATGCTGGAGTTATCGCAGATTGCACAAATCATCAGGCTGCACATCGATAATGTTAATTTAATTTCACTTCCGATTTGCACTGTATTTGCTGAGCTGATTCTCAAGCTTGAAGTAGCACAAGGTTAGAGAAAGGACATTATATTTGATTGTTGTACTGTATTGGACATGAAGTCTGGAACAGCATGGTACAGTAGTTATGTATTGTACCCCGCCTCGCTCGCCCCACTATTGGCGGGCGGGCCTTACACCACTCTGTCCCCACTCTCTGGAACTCCATCCCTCAGTCCCTCCGCCTCACCCCCTCCCTTGTTACCTTCAAGGCCCTCCTCTTCAACCGTGCTTTCGATCTTCCTGCTTCCCCCACTGCCCTCCACCCTCCCCCATCCCGACCCTCAGCTCGGGTCCGTAACTCTGTCTGTCCAGCGCCTTGGGACATCCTCCCGACGTGAAAGACGCTTTACAAATTTAATTTTGTTGTTGTTGTATCCATCAATTGTTGTGCCTCTTAGTGGTTTGCATATATATGCATACACCTTCCCCTTTTCACCTTTTTGCCCACAATATATACGGTCAATTCACTTTACAGTCTATTCTGTGAAGCGCTTTGAGACGTCGAGAAGACATGAAAAGCGTTATATCAAATGCAAGGATTATTATTATTATTATGACAATTGACAAAGATCAATATAATGATTATTAGTGTATACATATACATGTGGAGTCCTGTAGTGTATTCATTAGCGCACTCGCCTCACAAGCGAGAGGACCTGGGTATGATTCCACAGCAGGGCGAAACCTGAGGCAAGTTTCCTTCCTTCGCATGCCTCTGTTTACCTAGCAGTAAATAGGAACCCGGTTGTTGATCAATTGGGGGATCACTTTGCCTTAAAAAACATTATTAAAAAATAATAATTTGGTCACTCATTCCACGATTTTTTGTGGGACACTGCTGTGTGCAATTGGCTGCCACGTTTCACCCACAAAATATACAGTCAATTCACTTTACAATATAGTTTGTGAAGCGCTTTGAAACGTCTCAAATTCGTGAAAAGGTGCTATATCAAATGTAAGGATTGCTATTAATATTACTGGATTACAAGACTGATCAAATGGAAGGATTCAGAGATTCACAGTAAATTCTGTATTTTTAAAACTGCAATGTGCGCAATTGGCTGCCGTGTTTCACCCACAAAATACACAATCACTGCACTTTACAGTGTATCTTGTGAAGCACTTTGAGACGTCTCGAAGACATGATAAGGCACCGTATCAAATGCAAGTATTATTATAATGGAACATCATTGCAGATTAATTTAAAAAGAATTTGCAGTCAAACATGTTTAATATATTTTTCAAAGTGCTAATTATTTTCGTCATTATGAATTTATCGATTGTTGCCATTCTCTTAAATATTGTTCTTTTTCGTGGAGGCCTGTAGCTCAGTGGTTAGAGCACTCGCTTTGCAAGTGAGAGACCTGAGTTCAATTCCAGGCAGGTCAGGGCGAAACCTTGGACAAGTTTCCTTACTCCACACGCCTAATAATAATCCCTCCAAAAACCAAAAACAATAATAAAATTGGTCATTTTCAATCTACGACTGTTTGTGGGACATTGCTGTGCGCAATTGGCTGCCGCGTTCGCCCACAAATATACAGTCAATTCACTTTACAGTGTGTTCTGTGAAGCGCTTTGGGACGTCCTCCCGACGTGAAAAGCGCTATATCAAATGCAAGGATTATTTATTATTTATTATTTATTTTTAAGAGAAAGGCAACAATCAAAACTTTACAATGGCGAATAGCTCACCAGGTTTGCACATGAACAATGTCTGTTTAGGTGAGGTTGCAGAGGGCAAACAGCTTGCTGAGGTTGCTCCAGAAACTTGCTGAGGAGGAAGGTAAATGATTCAATTGTCTTCAGAAGGGTAGGCAGGGAGGGAGTGAAAATTGGTGTGAAACGTCTGTTTCGCTGAGGAAAAGAAAACTTCCTAAATGAATAAAAAGTACAATAAGTATGAATTTCCTCACCATTCAAATTTCTCAAAACCATAATGCAATAAAATACAAATTTATATTTAGTACCACCTTTCATGTCGGGAGGACCGTCCCGAGGCGATTAACAATACCGGCTTGGCCAGGAGAAATAGCACAAAGCGGAAACAGAGCAAACAGACAGACACGTGGAGCATGTATCTATCATGGGAAACTGGGCCTGAAGCAATTCCTTGAAGATTCATGTTGCAATTAAAAAGTGGTTGACAGCATATTTTATAAAGAACATTTTTGTGACTTCCCAAAATGTTATGAGAATTCAAAGTCCCCCTTGACCCATCCACCCACTTTCAAAGTTTTTTTTGATTTTAGAAAAATGTTATTTGGACAAAATCCCTATTTTGCATCTGGCTCCCATTCGCTTACAAGTCAGCTGTACTGTACTCCTCAATCAACTTTGCGATTTTACATTCTTTTTTCCCTTAGTCTTAAAATACAAATTGTAGCAACAAAAAAACAGAAGGAACCTTTGTGTTTGCTGGCGGATTTCACTTTTCAAAATGTTTTACTTGAATTTTCTGTTGGTTACGTTTTGTTTGGCTTGTGTGAGGGGGAGAAGGAGGGGGAGTTATCATCAGCAAATAAACAAAAGGTCCAGTCCGAGATGCTATCCTGTGCGAAGGGTGCTATATAAATGCAAGTTGTTGCTGTTGTTGTTGAGGTCGGGGCCCAAACACGCTCACGGGATCACAAAATTGGTCTGAATGAAGAAGGCCCTTCGGCCCATCCAATTTCATCCCTTGAGAACGCCCACCCGACTATCCCCATCATTGCAGCAAGTTGCTTTTTAAATAAGTCTAGTGTTTATTGTTTTGGCTGCTATCATCTTGCCTGGCAATCTTTTCCAGTCATTGATTACCCTGTGCATTAAAAGAAAAACGTTCTGATACCTGTCCTAAAACTATCCTTTACTCTTCGCTCTTTCCTCTCCCAGCATTCCCTCCATGAATCCCTCCAATCTGAGATTTGTGCTGCTCACAGCAGGGAGACAGCCCTGGTCAAAGTGACAAATTACATTCTGTCCACCCGCAACTAGGGCTTTCTCTGTCTCTCACCCTTCTCAACCTCTCGGCCGCTTTTGATACTGTTGACCATTCTATTCTTCTCCACCGCCTCTCCTCTCACCTCCACCTCAATGGTTCTGTTCTTGCCCAGCTCCATGGTGATAGTGTCACTACCTTTCCCACCGTCTGCACTTTATGGCCACCAATGGCTTCTCCTGTAGCCCCCGCACTGTCATGTGTGGCGTCCCTCAGGGTTCTGTCCTCGGTCCCCTCCTCTTCAATCTATACATGCTCCCGCTCGGCGATGTCATCCGCAGGCATGGGGTCAATTTCCACATGTATGCGGATGACACCCAACTCTATCTCGCCGTCTCCACCCTCGAGTCCAGGATCATTGATGTCCTGGCTTATTGTCTGTCTGACATCCAGTCCTCCAGCTCAGTCGGCAAGGCAGAGGCCCCCCTACTTGGCTCCCGGCAGCACCTCCTCACCTCAGCCGCTGACACTATCACCATTCAAGGCTGCACTCTTCACTTCACCGAGCCAATTCAAAACCTCAGTGCCTTTTCGACCCTCAGCTCTCCTTCAAAACCCACATTCATGCCGTGATATGGTTATACGGAAATCAAGCCAGCCCTCTCTGACGGTCTCCAGTCTGGCTCCTGAGCCAGACAGGTCCGCAGTGTTCCAGGACCATGAACACTAATGAGTATTCATGGCCATAGCTTTAAATCCATTTCTTTTAAAATGTAAGTATGAAAATTTGGGAAAAATCTTAAAATCAGTCTTTATTTAGAAGTTGTTGTTCTGCAATTCGTAAAAAATACCCACAGATAAACAGCTTCCAGGTTTCCCAAAGTCAAACATTTTCTAAATTTCTGCACAATATGAATCTTTAAGACAATGGTTCTGACAGCGAAGAGCACTGCCTGCCTGTGGTGTTTGTTTGAGGACAGATTTTGCTTTATCTGACTCGTTGAGTTTTGCAAAGTGTGTATGTGAAAGATGTGTTGGGTTTGGTTCAAAAATGTGATACATTATATTAATTGCTATAAAACTTTACATAACTCTTTTATATTTAAAAAAAGGTGAAACAATGAATACTACAATGACCAAAGTGATATATCTAATGAGAGTTATTATAATAATAATCCTTGCAGCTGATATAGCGCCTTATCACATCATTGAAACATCTCAAAGCACTTCACAGGAAAGACTGTAAAGCGGATTGACTGTGTATTTTTAGGCGAAACGTGTTCTGATGACATAAACTGTAGCTCTAGGTGTGACACTCAAGCAGTTTATGAATGTCATCAAAATCACGCAATTAATTGTTACTTTTTTTGTAAAAAATTAAAACTTATTCTAATCATTAAATGGCTGATGCACTGAATGCAATTGAGATCTTTGTGATATATCATATATGAAAACCTATTAAAAATTGAAGCCTAGAAGCTGTGATATTCCTTGCATCTGATATAGTGCAGACACCAGCCTGCTTCACGTCCTCCACCCACCCACCCAACTGTCAGCAGTCAGGTTTCGCTCTCACTCTGTGTAACTCTGTCCCAGAGTTTCTTCAATTCACCCCTTTCCTTACCTCCTTGAAGGTCCACTACAGGACCATCATCTTTGGCCACACCTTCTGCCATCTTTCTCCCCCCCCCCACACTCCCCTCACCACCCATCCCTTTTACCTTTCCTACTCCCAACTTGGGTGTAAGCCCTGGACTGACCAACATCTTGTGGTGTTTCCTGACATGAAAGGCGCTATATAAATGTAAAGTTGTATTGCATGATTGTACAATGCCTGTAACGGCAAAATGTCTCCAAGTGTTCAAAGGGAATTGCTGTCAAGTGCAGTCACTGTGTAAGATTAAAAGACTGATAAACTGGAGACTTCTGTGTTTAAGGCTGTTCTCCAGTTTATCAGTCTTTTAATCGTTTAAGTCCATGGCTCTCAATGCACCCCCCCCCGATCACCATTCCACTTTTTACCTCAAATCTAGATTGTTTTCTCTGTGTGATTGTCAAATGGATTCTTTGTGCAAGTGCCTCATATTGTCCTCCTCTTTCTCCTTTACTTTAGATTGCATTACCCAACACAGGCTGATCCCCTTCAAAGACTACACTTTGGGACAGGACGCTGTTGCAGAAACTGCTGCAGAATCGGGCGGTCTTTTTAAATCTTCTTGTCTTGTTAAGTCGGGTCCCAGTACGCAGCAGTTTGCAGGATGGGATTCCTCAACAAGGAATCTGAGTCAGGACGCATTCCGGTAAAAAGAAGTGAGTGCATCACAACGAACCTGCAGAAACTCCACTGTGAAATTAGGTCAGGTCAGAGTGGCATTCCCTCAGCTTCAGGTTTCCTTATTAACAGTAAATGAATACAGCAATTTTTTTATTTAGGAACTCCCATTAGAAATTGTTGCATGTTGGGACCCACTCGCACCCTCCCCCATTGTCTATTTTAGGAACACTGTATTCATAACATAAAAATACTAAAATAGCGAGTATTTATTGTGTGTAATGGTAACTACTGTGAATTTCTACTCTGGATTACAGAAGTGACAGGCAATGTCGTAAGAGTAGAAGCAAAGAGGAAATGTCTGTCTACATGCTTGTCACATCTGCAATCCAAGGGGGAGTAGTTTGATTTATAACCTGAAAACAGCAATCTTTTAATTTTCGATTTATTATTTTACTCTTCTCTATCTTAGTTATTAACACTCTAGGTTCCACGAGAACCAGTAGTCCTTGCGCTCAAAGTGGCCAATTTTCAAGTGTAAACCCAGGTGGCTACTGTCAACAGTAAGTTTGACGTGGAGACTGGACAACACAGAACTCAGTCCTTCCCTCGCCCAACATCCACGTGGAATGACGATACTGGATTATGATTAGAAGCAGGATCCCAGACTCCTTCGTTCTCCAGGGAAACTGAGGGAGGCTGATTATAGTGCCTTCATATGGGCCCATTTAAGATCAGCTACCTTAATGCAGATAAGGACTAGAGTCTGGGAATCTCTTAATGACACAATAACATTGCATTTATCCATTAAGATGTCACTGGATGCCAAATCCTTTCTTGGGCTGTGCCCTGCCATATGATGTGCCCGTTCAGAAGGTCAAAAGCCTTGCTCTAATGCGTCTTTCAAAGCCACAAGCAATCTAATAGCTGGACTCAGAAACTGAAGCGTTTTATTTTATTGGGTTAAGTTGTTTTTTAATTTTTTAAATTATGTGATTGTTCTACAACCTATGAATTTCCACTATCACAAGGCAATCACTCTGCAGTGATGATGTCTATTGCCCACTACTTCACTGATTGAAGAGCTCACAACAGACTCTACTCCCACTGCCTTCAATTGGTAGATAACAGAATGCTGTTCTCTGGCACAAGAGTGCTCTTCAGATAATAATAATAATAATAATAATATTAAACCTTGCATTTGATATAGCGCCTTATCGCATCGTTGAGATGTCTCAAAGCGCTTCACAGAATATACTGTAAAATGTAGTGACTGTGTATTTTGAGGGTGGAACACAGCAGCCAATTGCACACAGCAGTCTCCCATAAACAGTTGTGGATTGAGTGACCACATTAATATTTATTATTATTTTTGGGGTGGGATTATTACCTTGGATAGTCAGATCTTGCATTTTAAAGGTGTAATAAATTAAAGTAGATCCTTTTTGAATAAATGCTTAACATTGCTTTGTACGCAACGTACTTTTACAACATCTTAGTATATTTCCAATTTATGATTGTGTTTTTAATAAAATTGTGATATCAAAGTCAATGCTTTCATTCAGCAATTTAATATTTTGTTTGTAAGTCGCACTCCAATATTCATTGAATTGCATAGGTTACAGTCGGAAATGGGCCGTTCAGCTCAACTACTCCATGCCAGGTATTTATATTCCACATGAGTCTGCACTCCTCAAATACCTTTACAATAATTGATTTCATACGTTTTGAGGATTCATAAGTGTTTCCAGGTCCCCCTCTCAACCTTGCTCTGCTTTTCTGCTTTTGTTTCTTAAATGAGTTTGAAGCATACAAAATTGTGGGTTATTTTTAAAAACAAAACTAATCTTTTCAAATATCGCTGTTGAAATGACTGGAAATAAGAAACCGACAACAGAAAAGGCAATATTTTCAGGAATATGTTGCATCTACTTTGTAATAAGAGCTGCAAATGGAACTGAGGTAGTTTCAATTGTGTTCTCTAAAGAAGGAGCCAGTAAGGGTCCCACAGTATTGTTTGCCTTGACATCGTGAATAGCATTTTTTCAAATCAGAACCTCAACAAAATCTTTTCTTCAGCTGCTAACTGGATTTTCAATCCAATTTCAGACTCGGCAATGTTTGTTATGTCCAATTCAACTCTCAGCAGCCACAAATGTAAAATCAGCAAGATGTTAAATGAAAATAAACTAAAAGCACAGACCACTTTTCCACAAACATTCAATAAAGATAACATGCTGACTCAGTATATTGCTAGACAGAATAACCATTACACAGTAGTATAGCGTTCAGTAAATTATTGGAAATTAGATCCTGTGGTTTATTTTTTGGGTGTCTGACATATGTGGTAACCCATCACTATGCTTAAGAGTATCCAAACCCAACAAAGGGTTCCATGAATCCCATCTATCCGTAGAAATTCCAGAAATATATTATTGAAACAGAATGCGCTCTCTCTCCCTGGAGGGACACATCCTAATTGACTAATTCTGTAAAGTATTAGGCCCAGGTTGGCAAGAGCCAAGTTCTCCTTTCCCTCTTCTTTAGGCTAACTTATAAATATGTCCCCATAGTTACTGACCCCCTCCACCACCCATCATCAACGGAAATAACTTCTTTCTATTTCCCCACAATTTTGTACACCTCAACCAGTTGCCCCCCTCAACCTTCTTTGCTCCAATGAAAAATATAATTTTTTAAAAATGGTAATGTTATACAGTATGTATTCAACTCAAGAACATTGTGTGCCCCAAAGACAACATTGGGCAACTACTTGAATAGCTTAGAAAAAGCGCTGTATTGGTTGTACTCCCTCAAGATAGTATTTAACAGCAACAGTACATTAAATTGACTCTTACATTGCACGTATTCCCAAATGTATAAAGTCAACGTGCCTTATATGCGTTTCGAAATCCAACAAAGGATATATTTGAGCACTTCACAATAAGCAAAGGAATCTGATAGCTTTTCTTGAAACACAAGAAATCTGTTCCGTTTTGGAACGGATTGTAGGACAGCAGAATCCAGAATTGGTACCATATCTGAAATGCTTCTCTTCCCACCCACTCACCTATCTGGACCTCCTGTCCTTCTGCATTCCTTCTCACACAATGCCACGCCCTCTGCCTACGCCCAGATCATTGGTGTACTGAGTATGGAAAATAAGCCGCATTTGCTTACAAATGTCACAGTCATACCCTCTATAGAATATTCTTTGAGGTGCTTTGACATGTCCTGATGTGAGAGACACTATATCAAATGTAAGGATTATTTTGATAAGAGAGGCCCTAGTACAGGCCTTCTGTAATACTTATTTTATTAATAATGAGCTATGCAATTCGTGCACTTGATACAACATTGTTAACAGCAGGTGCATGTCTCAAAGTTCCACACAAGTTTTTTACTATGAACAGCAGTCACTGTGTATTTTATAGGCAAACGTGACAACCAATTTGTGCAACACAATATCCCGCAAGCAGCCATAAAATAATTGACCACTTTTATTTGGGGAATGCTGGTCAAGACACCAAGAGATGGGATCTTTGACTTCTACCTAATAATGCTAATAATTTATGTTGCTGTCTTGATCAACCTGAGGTTCAACCCAGAGCTCACAGAAGCCGAGAATTCTTTAAAAAAAAACAAATTAGCATTATCTTCATTTATAATGTAGAATTAAATTGAAGACTCAGCAGCAGTTTGGCCTAAAGGCTCGACTCGACTTGGTCACTCAATCCACAAATGTGGGACACTGCTGTGAGCAATTGGCTGCCACGATTCACCCACAAAGTATCCAGTCAATTCACTTTAGGGTATATTCTGTGAAGCACTTTGAGACATCTCAACAACATGGTACAAAAACAACAAAATTACATTTGTAAAGCGCCTTTCACATCAGGAGGACGTCCCAAGGTGCCGGACAGTCAATGTTTCAGACCCGAGCTGGGGATTGGTATTGGATGAGGGCATGGTGGGAAGGAGGGTGATGGAAAGCACAGTCGAAGAGAAGGATCTTGAGATGGGTCTTGAAGGAGGCAAGGGAAGGGGCGAGGCAGAGGGACTGCAGGATGGAGTTCCAGAGGGTGGGGCAGAGTGGTGTAAGCCCCAGCCTGCCAATGGTTGGGCGAGCGAGGCGGGGGACGTAAATCAGGCTGGAGCCTGATGAGCGGAGGGAGCGGGTAGGATGGTAAGGGGTTAGGAGATCGCAGAGGTAGGGAAGAGCAAGGCCATGTAGGGCTTTGAAGGTAAGGACCAGGATCTTGAACTATATCCTCTGTGTGATGGGAAGCCAGTGGAGTCGAGCGAGGATGGGGGTGGTAGGGTCACGGAGCCTGGTGCAGGAGAGACACGGGCTGCAGAGTTCTGGATGATCTGCAGCCTATGGAGGGAGGAGTAGGGGAGGCCGACAAGGAAGGAGTTTGTATCGTCAAGCCTGGCTGTTATGAAAGCGTGTATAAGGATCTCGGTGGCCTGCGGTGTGGAACAGTGGAGGAGCCGGGCAGTGTAGCGGAGGTGCAGGAAGGCAGAGCGGGTCATGTCACAGATGTGGGGCAGAAAAGATAGTTAAGGATCAAACAAGATGCCAAGGTTCCGGACTGGCTCGGTGAGGTGGAGAGTGCATCCTTGGATGGTGATGCTGTCAACCAGATGCTATATCAAATGCAAGAATTATTAGTAGTAGTAAATCCCCAAAGATGCCGCTCCTATATGAGTATGTTTTAATTCTGTGCGAAAAGAGGGCAAGCTAATCTTCACAGAATGCACCAGTGAGTTGATTATCAAAAAGCGCCACAGAGCAAGGCATTCTGTCCGAATTAACCAAATTTTGTCCAAATAAATCGGAATATTTTAAATAGGCTTATAATAGAATTGGAACCTTGGAATTGGTCCAAAATAAACCGCATCCAAAGTTAACCAGCATCCGGATTAAGCGGCTTCCGCTGTATGTGACATTAAAAGTTTCGAGTTGTTTCCAGAAACATTTGTTGTCAATTAAAAAAATTATACCAAACCGGTTTACTTTTTAAATTTCAATACAAGGAGTTTACATTTTTAACTTGGGGGAATAAAAAACACTTGATAAAATATTCACACTGAATATATTTCTTCTTTAAATAATTATAACTGCTTGCCAGATGTGTTCGATGTGAAGCGATTTGTAACCTTTCTTTCGGCCTCATTTAAAGTTGTCAAAACTCATCTTGAAATAATTTATGAGTTGATTGTTCTGGAACTCCGCGTGGCTTGAATGAATCTTTGCGAGACATGATTAATTTCACAAACATTTTAAATGAGAGCAATTTTTTGGTGTTCACATGCTGATTCATTAATTATTGGCATCCTTTTATTCTGAGTCATGACAGTTGCTGGAAATGGTACTTGGTGAACAATGAGGATTTCAGAAACATTACAAGCAGAGCCATAGGGCTTTTGTTCCATATATCATGGATATATCTCTGATCCGGATTGTTGGTGGAGCAGTTTTTATTTCAGAAATGTGTTGAGGACGTGTAAAAACGGTACTATTTCACTGCTTGGCTCTGTTGGTAGCCCCCTTACCTCTTGATTGACAAGGTTCAAGTCGCACGTTGAACTTGTAACCCTTGTTCGCACTTCAATACAGTAGTGGGAGAGTTGCTGCGTTATTGGAGATGCCATCTTTTGAGTGAGAGGTTAAACTGAAGTTCCATCTCGCCTGTTATCAAGAGGATGTTCACGATTCAAAAAGCAGAGAGCCTTTCTCCTGATGTCCTGGCCAAAAATGTTTCAAGCTAAATAGTTGTTCGTGCTTATCTGTGGGTCTAAAATGGCTGCCATGTTTGCCGGCAGAATGAATAATACTCTACCCCATTTGTTGAAAAGGACTTAGGGAAATTTTGATGCAATGAGATAAAAATGCAAATGCTTTCTTTCTGACAATGTCTTTAAGCAAGCTATCCCTTTACAAAAAAAATACATACACAGGTACAGGTTTCACTTTTTTTTCTTTGTAAAGTTATTTTGTGCGGTAGTGCAATCTCACTGCAAACAATTTGGTGGCTGCTTTCAATCACCCATTTCTAATAACAATAATAAACCTTGCATTTGATATAGCACCTTATCACATCTTCGAGGCGTCTCAAGGCACTTCACAGAATATACTGTAAAGTGAATTGACTGTTTACTTTGTGGGCGA